CCGTCGTTTAAGAAAGTAAAATGAAAAGAAAGTAAAGTTTATGGGTGGCTCGTAGTAGACCATGAAGCTAGGGGGATGTATGAGGGCGTTTTGAAGTCGCTAGAAGACATCCCACTCCATTGAGGATTGAACAGCATTTGCAGCTGATATGTCCCAGCAGGAAGGCTTACAGTGACGACAGTTACTCCGTCGTTGGATTGATCAGGGTAACCTGCGGGGGTAGGTGGGGAATTCGGGAAGGCAACGGCCTGCATAGTGGACAATACTCCCCCCGATGGTGGATTAAGTAGCTGCATGGTCATGGTTTGGCCATCTAATTTCAAGGTTGCAGTAGTGTTGTCTGAATTCATGGTGACGGTTGCATTGGTGTGCATGCGCCAAATGATGGGAACCTGTGTGTTAATCTCGTCTTGCAGCAGTACTTGCTTGCGGCCGTTGATGGTACGAATACCACGGGTGTACGAGGTGCTGCGAGCGAAGGTGAGACGAATGCTCAAAAATATACGCGAACTAAATGGCTTACACATCAAAGTACGCGCTGGTGATGTCAGCCACAAAATATGCCGCGGATGTGCTCGGAGGAGTGTAGACGGAGCTGGCTCCTTGTGACTCTCCGGTGGTGCCAGAACCTACAATTGTTGGAGCTGCAGCGACGTTTTGATTGGTCTGGTTCGCGAGGATGACATTTTGGCCCATAGTGGCTTTACGGTAGTAGAGCCACCTATCACTTCCCTGGGTGTCATTACTGAAATAGCCAGTAGATCTGTAGTCGCCATCGCCCAACTCGCCAGCCCACCGGGTACCCAGGGCATCGATGACGAATGTACCAACATCAAGATCGTTGTGCGTCTGGTGATTCTGGTTGGTACCAGCCTTCATGGCGAGGAACAAGGCATTCGGGTCTGTCCAGCTGCTTCTGATGGAAGCCCATTGATCTGTGCTGTTGTCGAAGAAGCGATCGAGTGGAAGTCCGTCCCAGAATGCCCCTGAAACGGTGGGATCATACCAAAACATATTCCAAGGATCGGCGGCATCAGGATGGTCACGTTGGAAAAGCGCGTAGCGCGGGAGATTGTATTGGCTAGCATAGAAGATTAGGGAGTTCGCGGTGGTGGAGTATTTGTTTGGACCCGTGTCTCCGTAGTTGAACAGGGTAGTGGCACCGGAGCCGTACATGTGGAAATCTCCTGTTAGGTTGAACCACGAGTTTGAGTTCATGAGGTTGTAGACAGATCCGGTAGCAGTGAGTAGTGAGGAAGCCATTTCCGAATGGCCAGTCACGGCGAAATACCAATAATCTGACGTCTCCGACCAAGTGCCATCACTTGACACGCCGAATGCGCAATTGGCTTCGGCGTTGGGCACAGTCTGAGCAAGAAGCTGCGCTGCCATCCCGGATGTGTCATCTCCAAGGATGGCCAGAGAAGCCATCGTTAGACCATTGTTGCATACACAATTCCAGTTCCCTTGAATGTTGGTTTTCCACCAGCCGTAATAGAGTGGATCAGCTCCGTACGCCTCAATTCCAAGGCTGAGACCATACTCCAAGAGCGTCCACAAAATTGCGCTTTTCTGATCAGGCGTCCAAACGTCATAAAGCCAATCGTATGCGATACCATACGCAGCCGAAAATTCAGCCGTGTCAAGGAAATGCGCAGGGTTCCATCGTGTAGAATTATCTGGACCGAAGGGATTCGAAGTGTTCCCAGCCGCGTTCTAAAGATATTATGAGTCATGCTTTGCGAAGAATGCAGATAGAACAAACCTGAAGTTCCAAGAATGTACGGTCGACCCACTTAGTATCATTGGTCATGCGATAAACATACGCGAATGCTTTCACTCTTCGCTTCAGGTCTCGTGCGTTGTCCAATATACCACTGTCCCCATCCATGAAGTAGATGACCGGGCTGAGATTGTAATAATCAGAGGCGTTGCCGAAGATGGTTGCATTCCAATATTTGAGGTACGGGTCTGTAGCGATAAGGGATGGTAATGCTTCCCATTTGTAGGACGGGGCGATGAGACGTGGGCGGTCTGTGCGCACAGTAGTTGGGGTGGGGTTTGCAGGCGCGAAGCTGTCCGAAGGCCAGCCAGGTTTCGAGCTGGAGCTGGGATTAAATGTGGGAGTGGAGAATGCTACATTGCTCTGATGAAAGTATGCATTAGGGATGACAGGGTGGAGTAGCCATGACACCCACAGTCTGAGGATATATAGGAATCATGAACTGGCTGTTCGTCGCGGTAGGGAATAGCCCCAATGCCTGCGTGCCGCCGCCAGAAGACGAGCCTCCAGACCCAGAGGACGATGCGGATGTACTGTCGTGGTGCTTAGTGCCAACGATAACACCAACGACAGCTGCGATAATGACTACGATGCCAATGGGCACGCCGATTTTCAGCCATTTGCTAGTGCCAGCTTTGGGTGTAGGGCGCTGGGGCGTGATATAGCCCACGGATTCGTTGTAATATGGGTCTCCCGAGCCATATGGGGATTGCCCGCCCCCGTAGCCCGGCTGCGGGGAGTGTCTGGCACTGTTCAAGTTGTCGTAAGACATGCCAGAGTGCTGTGTCTAGGCACGGACAAGAAGAGAGGAAAGGGAAGACTTGGTATGATCAAAAGAGAGACGGAGTAGTATGAAGGCTACTGCAGAAGTGGGGTGGAAACAACGAGCAACGAAATAGAAGAGGGCGCGTGAGTGGTAGATTTGCATAAAATTATAGCAACGGCATGTCCGGCAAGTTCCATTTTTAGTCCGGCACTTTCTCCCCCGCGGCTATTCTGAGATGTCAATGGAACTTGAAGGTCTTTAGGAGCATCATCGTGTTTTAAAGACATATTTAACATTTTGTTCACGATTACTCTACTCTCCGATAAAGACAGCTGCAGCACCCATTCCAGTACCTATAAAGAAGTGTAAGTACTCTACCAAATTTATGATGCATACTTTAGGCAGAATTGGTCTCACCAATGCACATTGAGGTAACAAGCACCTGTCGTTGAAATAGTGCTCGGTGAACAAGTCAGAGATCAAGGCGACATGAATACGCACCTTCCCCTTTCGTCTCCGAAGCTCGTGCAAGCCGGTTGCTATCTGACGAGCACCTGTGCACCGTGATCACCCGAGTTGTTGAGTTAGACGAGGGTAAACGCGTTAGATAGCGATAGTGCACTCATCTAATGGGTGGCCGAACGCTATCGCGCCGCCGTTGACATTGACTTTTGCGAAGTCGATACCCAACTCTTTCACGCAATAAACCGCCTGCGATGCGAAAGCCTCGTTGATCTACTACGCATAAGTATCGTTGAGTGCTTATGTGCAAGACAAGGTATTACCTCAAACAAGTCCACATCATCTTTGGTAAGACCGGTATTCCTGAAAACCATCGGGATGGCCAACAATGGACCAATCCCCATAACGCGGGGTGCGCAGCCTGAATGATAGTGAGCCCGTGTTGACCCTTGCGAACAAAGAGGATAGCTCACCGGCGACTACAGTGCTGACATGCTTTGCCAAGATAGGTAGCCCGAGCTCTTGAGCTTTTCGTCTGGTCATCAGTAAGACTGCCGCGGCACCATCCGTAATCTGACTTGCGTTTCCCCCTGTGGTCGCCGAGTTGCCCCATTGCGGGAAGGCAGCTCTAATCTTTCCCAGGGACTCCTTTGTAGTTCCGTATCTTATGCCATCGTCCTTTGCAATGATGACTTGCTCTCGGTTACCAGACGCGTCCTTTTTGTATGCTGTGAATGGCACAATCTCCGCGTCAAAATAACCCGATTTCTGAGCATGCTCTGCTTTCTGATAGGACTTGGCGGCAAAATCATCCATTTCATCGCGCGTAAGAGCAAAGTCTGCGGCCACGTTCTCACTAGTCCAGCCCATTGGCTGGATTATTTGTCAGGAACGATTCAAACCTTACGGATAGCAAATATCATACCTTGGGGCAGTCTTTGGCAGGATAGTTGTTGGCAATCTCTTCAGACTGTTTTGGGCCTCCTTCATCCGGGCTGGTACAGGTTAGAGCTATGCGTTTTCAAGGTGCGCTTGTACGCACTTGTCGGACATGCTTTCGACCCCAACAGCGAGTCCAATTTCTATTTGGCCCGCACGAATTTGGTTCGCTATAGTGGTTACTGCCATAAGACCGCTTGAGCAGAATCGGTTGATGGTTTGACAGGGGACGGTGTCCGGATAGCCCGCGGTAAGCGCAGCGCCGCGAGCATGGTAGACAGAGTCTGGAGTTAAGACTGTGCCAACGCATATGTCCTCAACGAGATGGGGTCCAATCTTGCCGTGCACAATTGATTGCTTAGGAACGGTAAGCTCACAATGCATGAGATACATGTCAGCAAAGGTACCTTGAACATTTCCAGCATCAGCTCATCGGTCCTAAACGACGATGAGTGCGCGCTTTAAACGCATGGTATACCCACGTACCGGGTGTCCTTGAAACCACCTTTCCTGGCCTTACAGAGAGGCGATCGAATGGCCATGGTAATAACGACATCGTCTGGACTTTGTCTCTGTAAACCATATAGGCCTTTGGTAGACCCAGTCAAGTGTGCGGATAGTTGCTTGATTCGTTCCATAGTGTTGGGAGAGGTATTGATATGGTGAGAAATTTGAAGCAGTGAATGTGCGAGATCCGGGGTCGCGGCTTATGGCTAGCTACCTCCGATCGGCCCGACAACGTACTTCACGTGCGACTCATAGCAATGCGCATTCGCGATCGCGGCTTGCGTTTCCTTCCAAGCACCTCCGTAGCAATATATATCTAAACAACTCCAACTTACCGTCTTTAAAGTCTGATCAGCCGAATCCCTCCCCGAGATTCAGCGCTCAGCTCTCAAACAAAGCTACTTTTTGTCGTCGTTGTTGTAGGGTCTCTATAATTTAATTGCAAATGATCTTTTATAGCTTGGGACAAAAATTCAAAAAGAACAGTAAAATCACTAAAATACTTCAGATCATATTATAGGGCATGCAAGTTGACTATTTCAAGCCCGCCTAGCTCAATCGGATAGAGCGTCAGACTCTTAGGCGGGTTAGTCACGTATGTGACATCTGAAGGCTGCGAGTTCGACCCTCGCGGTGGGCTATGACTTTTTGTTCGAGTAGTAGATAACGTGCGAGTAGTTTCAGGTGAACGCAGATGACACTATGCGATATTCCATATCATGTAAATGGTACAAATAAATTCATTTTATTTCGTCATACGTCTAATAAGTAGGTAAAGGCCATTTGAGTCGTAGAGTCCTTGCTCGTCATCGTTATTGACTGCCCGTTGCATGTCATGATCGTAATCCCGAAGTTTCTGCGTCGACGCAGGATCATCCTCGGTAGGTGCAACAACTGGGAACACAATACATGATGAGTTGAACCGAAGATGTATGCTTTCACTACGTACCTCAGCATGTACGGCACAATGGACATTGTCAGACAAGCAAAGGCGACCCAAGTCATGTACAGCCCTGGGCCTACTGATGTGATTATGCCTAAAGGTATGCGCTCGCCATTGAAAGGTACAGATGCGCTGTTCAGCGATGCTGCCTTGTTAATTATAACTGTCCACAATGCGGCACCGACGAGGAGCAGGAAGCTGCCGAGGACAGAGAGGGATGATGAGAGCAGAAATGCGACAGTATGCCTCAAAACACCACTGTGAAGGTTGTTAATACGATGGTCTGCGTGGCGTAGAGGTAGACTGACGTGACCAATGCCAGAGCGGCGCAAATGGTGGCAAGAAGAATGAGGTAATAAGCTGCTTTGGACTGCTCGCCGAGATATGCAGAATTGCGGAATGTAAAGTCCATCAGGATGGAGTCGGTTTCTTGTGAGTAATTTGCTGCCATGTCGCTGGTGATCGCATCGTATGGTGTGAATCTGGTCGCGGCCGTGACGTTGGAGCAAATGCCCGCAGTTGCGTTTACGTATGCGCAGTGGGAGTAGAGACCAAACTCATAGAGCTGCCGCAATCCGGCCTGCACTCCCAGGGGCGCAGATGCGTTCGTGGTGTACAGACCTTCAATCGGGTCGGGATTGAATTCGGCACGCAATCCATTGCTGCGAAGGAGCTTAATGGATGTCTATCATGTTCAGCACACATTTAGAACATACCCATAGCCCGATACGTTCACTTTAGCCTGTAGATCAAAATTAGATCGTCGGGTACAGTGAAAGAAGATGAGCACTCACCATAGCTATACCCCGCGGCACAGAGGAGGTGTTTATTTGTCCAACCTGAGCATACCGATGAGACAGAAGGCATATGATGTCGAGAAAAGGGACATACATGCACAAATATGAGTAGCAGCAAGGCCACGAAGCTGACCACGTTTTCAGCGTCCTTTATGCGATGATGACTGGCCGGAGACTCACGAGAGAAAAGAGGCAGCTCCGACACAAACTTCACCGCGCATGTCTAGTTATCGCCAAAGATTTTGCGGTGTGTGAGAGAGTGGTAGAAGGGGGTGAAAACGTGGACTTGATAACGTGGAACAGGACCAGCTGCGCGATTTTGAAGAAGACCCTCGAGGCAGACGCCTTGCAATGTTTGCCTTCGGCCTGTGCCGAGCCGGCGCACATTCACGTAACAGGCAAAAGGCCCGACGACCGAGCTGTTCTGCTTCGACTTGAATCCAAGTACGCGGTCACTGTCCTTGCTTCCTCCCACTACATCGCTCTTGAACATGGCAGAGGCCAGTCCCAGGAAACTTCGCAGCCGTGACTATGCACATACACTCGAATCAGCGACTGAAGGCGAGAACGAGTCTGGGGCATCCGATTCCTCTCCACGCAAGCGTATCACACGTGCAGTAGGCAAGGGCGTGGACAACCTCACGAGAAGTTTCAGTGGCAGTACTAGGCCGGCTCCACAGTCTGTTACTGCGGGATCACCTCCCCCAAGTGCAAGACGGCTGTTCAGCTTGAAACGTAAAGGGAAGGGAAGGGACACTGATGGTATGTTGTACATATTCGCATAAACTAATGCAAGTGCTTACGAAGAATGCATTGTCCTATCGTATCAGATGATAGCGCGGCTGCGTACGGCTCGAAATCAATGTATACTGTATCGGATGCTCCTAATGCTGGGGATGATTCACCCTTCATTCGACCCCGATCGCCCTCGGCTGCTCCGGGCCAAAGCGGGCGAGTTTCACTAGAGCCCTTTCGTGGAGATGGATCTGTGAGTGTATTATTGGCTCGGTCCGAAACTTGACCCTTATCTACTGCGGCCTAATGTACAGATGCGCGCAGGCACCCAAACGCTTATCCAGGCTTTGCAGGCCATTCCATGGGCGGATGACCCTGATAACGATGATGAGCCCGTGGAGACTTTGCACCACGATCTCAATATGCCAGCAGATATGGACAGCGAGGAAGAAGAAGACAGTTTGGGTAAGTAGCGGCCGCCAATTGTCTGATTTGATCATTTAACCCTCCGTAGGCCCATTGGCATCTTCTTTGCATACCATCCATAGGCCTCTCGCGCGGTCTCGTCGCCCGGACATTCCAACATTAAATATACGGCTACAGCAAGTGGACTCAGATCCTGAAGAAAGCAGTGCCAATAACGACGTCGAAACAGGAGATTTCGAGAGGACGCCAAAGCCGGCGCACTCTATCCCGGATGCTATAAAGGCAGTGGCATCAATGGCACCGCCAGGACAGTCTGGTGCAGCCCGGAGAATGACAATGAACAGAAGTGGCAGTATGGCCACAGTAAGAATGCAGCGGAGAGCACGCTTGGCAGAAAAGCTGCAGGATGTTTTCGAGTTAAAGGATATCACCGAAGTTCGGGCAGAGTTACCATGCTGGTTGTTGCGATCTGTCTGTGAGCACCTTGCCATACATTTGCCATACCGATGCTAAGCAATAGATAGTGCTGCAGGGATATATGTATCTGACAAACTCGCATCTTTGCTTTTTCGCACATATGCCTACGAGAGAGGTCAGTATGTCTCTTTCTCTATTGAACTGGGTTCTGACGCATCGATTTGCAGGATCAAATCCTTAAATCCGGTACTATGAGCAAGAAAGCGCAGCGAACGAAGCGATGGATAAAGCATTGGTTTATCCTGAAGAATGATGCCCTATCATGGTATCAGTCCTCTTCGGTCAGTGCCAGGCCGCACAAAGTAGAAATCGAAATTTATCTCATCTTCAGGATCCTTACTTTCCGCACGGCATTGTGGATCTTCGATACGCCATCTCCTGCGAGCCTCATAGCGAGAAAGGCATCCGCCTGCGCACCAATCAGAAAACTATCACATTATCAGCAGATTCCGTCCCGAGTCGCGAGGAATGGTTGAAGGCCATTCGTCGAGTCATTTTCAAGGCGCAGAACATGGGCGACAGCGTGAAGATTGCCATTCCATATGCCGCTGTCCTCGATGTCGAGAAATCCTCTGCAATGGACTTCAGTGAGACCATCGAAGTGAAGGTACTAGAGCAGGAGGAGCAGCATTCTATCGACTCGTACTTTTTTGCTTACTTCCAAGACTTATCAGAGGCGCTTGATCAGATTCGCGACGCTGTGCGGTCGAATCGCTCGCTGCCTCCCATGTCTGCGCCCGCAATCGTCTTGGACACTACGGCATCCCGTCCGCCTCCCGTATCGGAGCCCATAGATCGAACTCGGAGCTTACCCACTGCTGAGCCTGCAAAGGCGAGTGGCGGGTTCAGACTCACGTCATTTTTGCGACCCTTCCAAGACAGTTCACGCACAACCACTCTTCCAGCTCCTGACCGTCCAGATCACAACGAAGACTTCACACATATCAGCAAGCGAACCAGCTCCTCTTTCGTACCTCTGACAACGTGTCCAAAACCAATCGAAGAGCAGCTCCCATCTTCGGAAATGCAAACAGCTCAACCTGTTGAAGCCTCAGCGAGCAGCCTGACACCCACACCTTCTGTTTTAGAACACACGTATCCACCATCCACACCGACCAATGAGCTCCCGCCTAGTACATCCAGCAGTTGGAATGTTGGTATGCCCGGCTGGCTCAAAGGCTCTTCGAGACGCGTTCTGGGCACCACAGGCACTAGTAGTACCAGCTACCCAAGTCCCTTGACGACCAGCTCCAGTATCGGAGTAGTATCTGAAGTCTACTCCCCGAAGATGACATCCTCAATGGATAGTACCACATCAGGCGGCGAATTTGGTGAATTGGCATATAGTGTGTTGGAGACCCCGGAGACAGCAGTCGATCATGAAGCAATTGAGAAATTCCGTGCGGCATTCGCTTTCGATGAGAAGGAGACTTTACTGGGCTGTGAGTGGTGGTATTTCTTGATTATGGATCCTCTTGCGAGACCCATTGCAGATTTTACAGGTTATATCTATAGCCTGTTGCCAATATACGGCCGTCTTTACGTGTCTACCAACTATTTTTGCTTTAAATCCAGTGGGCCTTTGACGACTCGGACGAGGGTGAGCAGGCACATACATCATCATCATGATTGTCTAACACAGAGTTTAGATGGTTCTACCCATTCGGGACTTACTAGCTCTTGAGAAAACCAAGGCTACTCGGTTTGGACACCACGGCCTTATAGTGATCATCAAGGGTTACGAGGAGCTTTTCTTTGAATTCGCGCAACTCGATCGCCGTCTAGCATTCATAACTTTGCTTGAGCGTCAAATGGAAATAGCACGCCACGCAGTGGACACACCTGCTCTTAGCCAAGGAAAACGCGATGCTCTGCTTCTGGAGGAGTTTGAGGCGAACACCCCTAACAGCAAGGACTCGGACGCTCGTCCCGCCGCTCCTGAAAGCATGTCAGAGTCAATGCCCGCTGTCATGTTCACTTCTTCATCATCCACTTTCCTCACTTTCAAGCCCAAGGAATCTCTGCAATTTACGTTCTTGACAATTGGGTCACGAGGGGATGTGCAGCCGTATATTGCCCTTGCGAAGCCATTGATGGCTGACGGACATCGTGTCAAAATAGCCACTCATGGTGAGTTCAAGGAGTGGATCGAAGCTGTGAGTTTAGTTACAATTGACTTCCTGTGCGGTCGATCTCAATTTCATTCGGCAGCATGGTATCGAGTATGGATATGTGGGTGGCGACCCTGCCGAGCTTATGAGG